CCAGTGAAAAAGCACAAAAGTCTAAAATATTTACTCTATTCTATTCTGCACAAACTACAACAGCTACAAGTATTTGGTTGACTTAATTATTTCAGTTTAGATCTAAAATAAGTTGCAGGTGCAGGTAAATGCTAAATGATTAGCATCAACGCTAACACTCGAGAGCTTGTGTTCATGCTTTTGTCAGTGTCAAGGGACCTACTCTAGAATTATGTTCAATCTGAAGCAGATTTAAAATAAGAAAACTTTATGCGAAACACAAATTTGGTGAAAGACTAATGAATGAATAATAGATTGATTTAAGCTGCAAAAGCAAGATTGAGCGTGCTGCTGTCAGTGACAAGCAGCAAGTAAGAACTCGTAGGCCGCCGGTGATGACATCACAATCATCCAATTACATTATTAACCATAATTGTGTACTAGAGGTGGGCGACATACTAAAAATTTACCAATACCAAAATTTATGTCTAGTTACGTCATTTTGTCAATGTCAATATATTAGGTATTGGAAAAAAAAAAGAAAAGATGTAGGTTGCCGATGTTTCTTTAAGATGCTGTACTACAAGCTGGATGGGGTGGAGTCACATGACTTTGTGGAGCCATGTGACACCACCTCATTATTGACAGTGTGAAAATGGAGGAAAATGCAAATATTGAGGCGAAAGGTGGGCAAGGGTGCCCCCAAGGGGTGGCCAGGGGTGTCCATGGCCACCCCTAAAAAGTTGCTGGCCCACCAGGAAAAACCAGTGTTAACAAATCATATTAATGTTCAGTCGAACCATACATTGATCTTGTTTATTCAAGACATAATTGTAAAACAAAATAAAAATATTACAGTTGATGAGTAAAGAAATAATCAGAATTTAAAAAAAATATATGTTTCTGCTGCTCACCATTTAAAAAAGTTTTTATCTCCATAGTTTTTTTAACACAGCAACAGGTGAATTAACCTAAAACAATAAATTGTTGAATTAAATTTGCGATAACATTTTAAATAACTGAAATGTATATTTCTAACATGTTTGTGTTTGATTCACTGTTGTGAAAGACTTGAGAAAAGCTTTGGATTCTCTCAAACATTGAGCTTTGCTGTGGTCCAGTGGCAGCTCGTCCATAGGGGGCACTTGGGACCCACCGCCCCTGAATTGAAGGGAGAAAATAATCCAAAAAAACTAAAATATAAATTATGTATTTACTATAAATTAGTCAGATTTGCTTAATTGTGTTTGACTACATGGAATTTGAATATTTTATTCATTGTTTTCACTCCACCAGACTTTCACTCCTGGGGTGCTAAAAAAAAAAAGCTCCCGTGAACTGCAGCTAAACAGCCAATCACATTCGGTTGCTAAGTAGAACTGGAGAATTTTAGGACAATCAGCATCTGTGAATTGAATGCGCCTGGGACACTAGCCAACAGCGCCATAAACATGAATATTTAGATGTGCCATTGGGCACCTGAGAATGCCGCCACCATGTTGGGTGGGTTCCTTACTCTCCAGACCCAGCTGGAGTCAATGCAGAGTGAGCAACTCTGCCTGGTTTTTGTGCAGCCTACAGTGTACTATTGAAAACAGATCACGTGGGATTACTATTGACTTTTCCTGCCTACCTGTTGGAATTTTCTATTTAAAAAAAATTCTGAAATGACATAAAAAGTTTAATGTTATTAACTCACATAGATATTACCTCAATATTATTACAATTAATTTTGCTCTATAATTACATATTATATAAATGTATTACATTTGTTTTTCTTTCCACCAACAGTTTTAATTTTATGAATTACTTTACTTTTCACTTTGCTGCTTGACAAACTAAACCAGTCGGACGGTTCTGCACTAATTTTGGTTGGCTGGGGACTTTGCTCTGGTTGTATTTCTGGCTCTTGGTTTGAGGATTTTATTGTATTGACAAATCAGCAGAAACCACTAACGTCTCCCTGCACGAAAACAAAATGTGTGCAGGGGCTGAATGAAATTCTGCTGCAGATTTCACTTTTATCACTCCGAAAATTCAGCTAATTCAGGTGAAAACGTGTTAAATTCTATAATCCTGTAGCTCATTAGGCAGGTTTCTGCAGCCTGATGTCACACAGTGCCGTGCATAGTTTGTGTTAAAGACACAATGAGGGAATGCTCTGTGATTTGTACATTTTGTTCCATTTCTGCGAAGGAAGACTGATTTACCGTCGCCCTCCACTGGTCTGAAGAGGACAAGAACACAATCAGAACCTGGAGCTGCACACACCAGGCAAGCTGCAAAACTAGCTCCTCATCAGGTTTAAAACAAATCTACAACATTCTCATTACTATTGGAATGTTTGCATCACTTTTACATGAGCAGACTGTTGTGTGTTCTTTATAACCTTTGACCTCAAGTCTAACTCCGACTTTGCTACAAGTCAAAAAGGTTAAGGTTGGCTTTATTAATCCCAAAGGGGCAAATTTAGTTGCGATGACATGTAAAAACAACAACAGACAAAACAAAAAATTACATTCACTGGACTCTGCTATAAACAACCATGATAAAAACATCAAATATGAGATCCTACAAAATGCTTGCTGTAAAAACGCACTGCAGCAGGAATAAAAGAGTTTCTGCAACGTTCAGCGGAACAACGGGGCATCAACATTCGTCCACTTAAAAAGCTCCTGAGATCCTTAAAAACATGGTGGAGAGGGAGATCCTCCAGAGACAGAACAGTCTTGTTTACTCATCATCCTTTTGTCCATGATCATGTCAAATGAGTCCAAGCTTCGCCCAACCACTGAGCTGGGTTTCTGGATCATTTTGTTGATTCTGTTTTTGTCCTCAGCTGTGAGGCTCCAACACAACACAGCATCAAACACAATCCCCTGATTAAACACATTCAAGAGCCTCCTACTTATGTCAAAGGATCTTAGCTCCCAAAGAAAAACTGACTTCCTAATGGACAAAAAAGTTGGAGGGATAATAATATTTTTTTTAAAAACAATTTTTGACTATAATAATTTTAAATAGACAAAATAAACATATTTTCATGGGATGTCAACATTGCAACCATGTATGTGAGGATGACACCAAACAATTTCCTCTTTGAACAGCATCGTCACCCGGAAGCAAAGGACTCTTCTGCCCTCTTGTGGTCACATGACCACATCTACAAGCAAACCTGGTTTATTCTGACAATAAAAATACACAATCAATACAGATTACACTAAAATTATAGCCAATTATTAGAAATTATAACTGCATACTGTTTATAATTTGGAGTAAACCCCACAATAGCTATATAATATGTGTGTGTGTGTGTGTGTGTGTATATACACACACACACACGCACACACACGCACACACACACATATATATATATATATATATATATATATATATATATATATATATATATATATATGTGTGTGTGTGCGTGTGTGTGTGTGTGTGTGTGTGTGTGTATATACATATATATATATATATATATATATATATATATATATATATATATATATATATATATATATATATATATATATATATATATATATATATATATATGTATGTACTATATATATATATATATTTATATATATATATATATATATATATATATATATATATATATATATTCACACACACACACACACACACACACACACATATATATATATATATATATATATATATATATATATATATATTACACATATATATATACATATATACTTTTTTTGGTCAAATGCACAACGTAACCATTGTAGCTAATTTATTCTGAAGTATATCAAATTAAAAAAATGTAAATTCCAATTTAATGTGGGAAAGTGAAACATTTTCTGTTTACTAAATGCAGCACAGAAGAAAAAGTAAGTGCGCACAGTTTCTTTTTCTCTAACAACTAATATTGACTGAATAAAACAACAAAAACAATGTTGTCTTTATTCCCTTAATAAAGCAGCATGAGCAGCTGCAGGACGACGCCACAAGGCAGAAATTCCTGCTAAAATGGCGTCACAAGCTGAGTTTTGGCCCAGGTTGGGTGAAATATCCACAACAAGTGTCCTGAACTCATGTTTAGGTTAGAAACATTAAGGAGATTTAATGTTATAACTTAACTTTATTGTGTTAGTCATATCTAAGAGAAGTAGGACGTGTGGTCTGTGTGTCAGGTCTGATAAATAGTTGGGTGTGACCTTTGCAGAGTGAAACCTGAGCTCTCTCTCTCTGTGTGTGTGTGTGTGTGTGTGTGTGTGTGTGTGTGTGTGTGTGTGTGTGTGTGTGTGTGTGTGTGTGTGTGTGTGTGTGTGTGTGTGTGTGCGCGTAGTTTACACACTTGTATGTATAATTCATTGTGAATCTACAGCCTTATAGTTTCCTGCTGTCTGTGTCAATCAAAGCCAGCGCTGACAGCTCATCAGAGGAGCGTTCAGATCACATTTCTCTGCTCTATAATCAAGATTGTGATCAGTTCTTTGTTGTGTTGCACAGAAATCACTCTTTAATTAACTTAACTGTAATTACAGATCAATGATTGCAGCTAAAACAAAAACTGCGGCTGCTTTGATCTCAGGAAGTGATTCGACGGCGTCCAATCGAGACCAACCACGCCGTGTGTCTCTGGTGGGATGCAGGTGAAATCCAATCAGTCGTCAGAGCTTCGTACATCTCTCTTCGTCTACACGACACCAGACATTCCGCCTAGGTTGCCAGGCAGCGCAGTGCACACACACACACACAAAAAACTCATCGTGCACCTGCATCTCATTGGTGTTTAGGGGATGTCCTGCTGCAGCCAATGAAAGCAGAGAAGGGAGGAGGATGGCAAGGAAGTGGCCAGGTAAGAGGGAAAGATGTGGAGGTTATTCAGATATCATGACTCCCAGGCTGCTTATTTCTGCTTCTGCTCAGTTCATTGTTTTCACCTGTGCCCAATTCCCCACACACCTGCCCCTCGTCTCCTATCAACCAGCTCCTGTGTACATAACCCTGTCTGTGTCTCTCTGTGTTGCCGGTCCATTGATGTTGTCAGCGTTGTTTTGATGCCCCGCCCCGCCTGGTCTCTGGTTCTCTGCTCATAGAGTGAGCTTTTGGTTTTGTTCTTTGCAGCGTTTTGATAATTGGTTTTGGCTTCCTGCCCTTTTGGATGTTTATTTGGTTTTTCATCCTTAATAAAGGATTTTACTTGAATCTCCACTCCTGCCTCCTGTCGTCCTGGGGTTCAGCATACTGGGTCCAACCCTCCTGATCTTAATGTGACAGATGCATCTTTCAAAAGTTTCCTTTTATGTCTATAAGGGGAGAGTTGGTCATTTTCAGACGTAGAGGGACAATGTGTGTGTGTGTGTGTGTGTGTGTGTGTCACAGGAACCAGCCTATTGGAGTTGACAGACAAAGGAACCTCTGACTCTGGAAAAGAAACCCTCTAAAATATAAATGAGGAAATCCACACCTGTTTCCAAGTAACCAAGGTAGGTATTATGAACTGTGTCAAGTCGTGTGTGTGTGTGTGTGTGTCCACCTGCTGGGTGCACGCACGAGCAACACAACATCCTATCTTTACCTGCAGACAGCACTCAGGTACGGCAGCAGCTGCTGATTTCCCTGCTTGGATGAAACGCTCAGAATCGGGTCAGAAATCGGAGCATGAACAAGTTAAGGCCTCTGATCTGAGACCAGCCTGAGTTTTCTGACCGTTTCACATGGAAGCCGGTTTGGTGAAGCCAAACTGACCTGGAGCTGGAAGCGGGGATTTCACCGAGGGTAGGCCACTGAATGAAACGGAGATCTTCGCAGGTCGATCCCCGAGAATCTGCTCGAGCAAGTATGAATCCGATGTGGAAGGTTTACAAAAGCAAGGTGATGAAGACTATAAATCCTGAGTATGAAGATGATGCTGCAGAAGAGGTAAAGGTTTCTTCATGCAGATCATTCTAAGGATGTTTAAATATGAAGAAATTAACTCGTTTTTTTTTTTGACTGAAGATACGTTTGCAGGTTTTTCTGGTTATGCTGCAGAAGTTGATACCAGTAGAAATAACATGATGCCCAGAGATGCTCAAATGCTTCATTACATACATACATTACATACTTCAAACATCCTGTACCTTCATGTCATTCTGTGCTGAGAATTAAATACAGTAAGAAATGAATTGTTGAAATTACTTAACCAAGTTATGTCAACTGGTCAGTGGTGGAAGAAGTACTCAATTTTTTACCCACGTAAAAGTGAAAATATCAAAGAAATGTTTTACTAAAGTAAAAGTATTAAAGTATGCATTTTCAAATAAGAGTAAAAGTATTCAACTAAGATTTAATACTAGTTTTGTGTGTAGAAGTAAATACTACATGAATTAAAAGTGCTTTTACTTTTGGAATTTTACAGAACATGTAAAGTAAAAAGTAGGCCTCAAGAAAGTGACTTAAGTAACTTTTCTGTATCTGTACTTAAGTACACTTGTGCTTAGTTACAGTCCCTTGCTGCAGGTGGTTCCCAGTTGCTTAAAACTAAATGTACATTACTTTTTACATTTAAGCCGCTACGTTTAGTGGAACCAGTTAAGTAAATCCAACATTTTATTTCTACAGTGTACTTTAATCCTTCACCTTTCAGGAGTAAAAATGTAATTCAGGGTGTTTTTTCTCAGATGTCAAACATGCAAACTCTGAAATATAATTAATATTTCCAAAAAGAAACACTGAACTTCTTTTTTTTTTCTTTAAATCTTGGATGGACTCATGAAAATCTAGTTTTTCTGCAGAGTTCCTGAAGCCAAACAAGCTCACGTATGAACTAATAATCCCCAATAATGCCATTTTTGGATTGTATTAGCGCTGAGGTATTTCTCACTCTTTTGTTTGAGGAAATTTCCCCTAAGACGTCGGTGTTCCTTTACTTCATGCAGGATGTGGTACCTGTGAAACAAGCGTGCACTGCTGACCCAGATCTCTGCACAGCAGAGAAACTCGATCCCGACCAGGAGCTGAGCAAACAGATTAGCTGGCTTTCCAGTGACTGACGGGATCAGACAGAAAGCCAACACTTCAGATTCAGCCGGTTTGCTCTACAAATATCAGGAATCCTGAGCAAATGTTTGGACATTTAGACTCTTTTGCTTCACTTGTTTGAGTTAAATAAAAAAACAAATGGCATTTTAGGATATTTTCTACACACATTGTTTTACTGTGAAAGATTATCAACAGAAAATGCTTATTCAACCACTCTGTCAGCCTAAATATTAACGTTTTTGGACACTTTAATGTCATCTGTGCTTTGAATCTAATGCTTTTTTATAATATCTGGATGGAACTCCGTACACATATTTGAATCTGCATTAGAAGCTAAAGAACATTTAAAAAATTAGGATTTGCACTTATTTTGTCTGTTTCTCTGCTTCAGGCCACAGAAATAGAACATGATATGACTCCGATGCAGGACGATGAAGGGCCCAACGCCGTCTCCCAACTGGCCAAAAAGGTACACGGACTTTTGTTTATGTCCCAAAAACCTCCAGCATCTTAAAAGAATGGGTTCTAAAATGATAAATGATCACGGCAGCGCGTTAGTCTCACAGGACTCGAGCATCCCTGCTTTGACCTTTGACCTTGTGTATGCATGCAATTGTTTGTAGATGCAGGGGGCCGGGGCCAAAAGCTGGAACAGATTTTCGTCGCTTTTCAACAAAGAAGATGAGCACCAGCTTCTAGAGGAGACCGAGAGCCCGCCGGTGGCTGATCAGTGAGTGATAAAGGCAGTATGTCTGCGTATGAACAAAAAAATCTAATATTTTAACTAAACATATTGTTAAAATGCCACTTGTGATGTATTACAGTATCTGCATCTTTAGCTTTTTTTTCAATCAATGAAAGCTTTATTTATAAAGCTCGTTAGATGTTGCATTAAATGAGCTGAAATGTTCATACGCTAAATTAAAATAGTCCTGGTGGAAAATTAGCAATCAATCAAAGCTTTATTTATAAAGCACCTTCCGCAACCCTGTCAGGAAGCCCAAAGCGCTGAACATGTTACAGTAGAAGGTAAATATATTGAATAAATCAAAAACAAAAGCAATTCAAATTACAAAATACAAATTACAAAATAGGTGAAACATTCTGGTACAGGACAAATGTGTAAAACAAGGGATTGAGTGAACCAATGAAAACTGTGAAATAAATTCAACATAAAAGAGGGCCAAAATCAAACATGTTCAGGAAACGCCAAGCGGAGGAGGTGTGTTTTTAGGTGACTCTTAAAGTCTGGCAGAGAGGGGGACAGCCTGACTGAGGGTGGCAACTGGTTCCAGAGTGACGGTGCTAGGACTGAGAAAGCCCGGTCCCCACGGGTACGACACCCAGAACGAGGGACAGCGAGCAGGCCTTGGTCAAGCAGGACAGGATTGTTTTGTTTTGTCATTTTATTTAAATATTTATTGTTTTCTAGTTTCTTTCTGACTTTACTTTTTAATTTGAAGTGAGCTGACTTTAAATTAAATTATGCACAGACCAAAACAACGTATTGGAGTAAAAACACAATAATTCCACACTTTACAGTTGCAGTTTGTTGTAGAAACATGTTGAAAATCAGTCAATCTGAAACAAAAAAAATCTAACTTTATTTGGTTCATGAATGCATCACCCCGCAAAACACATCTTTTCTATGGATTTTTTTCCCTTTCCAAATAAGAATTTTCACGTTAATAAAAAATGTCACTGAGGAAAAGTGTTTTGTTGAATAGTTTTTTTATGGATAAATCAGATTTGACAAGTCAGCATCGGCTCTTGAAACTCAAATCGATGCATTGCTTATTTAGCTTTTCTGTTGACACTTGACAGATGTTTAGTTTAAGGAACAGAAATAAAGAAGACTTTATATTTGATGCCAAAAATATAAGATTGTCATCTAGAAACAATAATTTTGGAGCATTTTTAATTTGTTTTTTGTTAAATACTGAAATGCATTTATAAACATCTGTTGCCTCAAAACATCTGATGAAATATCTGTTAATAAAAGCGTGTGAATAACGTGACTCGTCTGAATTCTCAGCCCTCTCGCAGTAAAGCCAGAAGAACCTCCTCGACCCACCAAACGCACGGCATTCTGGGATAGCTTTGCAGCCAACTGGGCTGCGAAGAAGCAGGCTGAAGCCGCTGCAGCTGCGAACGCAGCTGAGCAGGGTGAGGCGGGGGTGATGGCAGCCGGAGGGGAGCAACAGCAGGATGAGCAGATCACCACTGGAGAGGAGAGTGAAGGAGGAAGCAGCAGCAAAAACAGCTTCTCCAAGTATATGTCTCTGGGAGGAGGAGGGGGAGCAGGAGGAGAAGAAGGCAGCGAGGAAGCATCCTTTAAGTGGAACTTTGTTACCAGTAAGCTAGCTGAGCTCAAGACCAAGAGCATGACAAAGACCAACTGAGAAATGACCAGAGTACAGCCGCAGACTCATGTCTGAAACTAAATTGATCCGTTTTATTAATAATACTGAGAACTATTGGCCTCTGAAATGTAACAAATGGATTATAGGAGTATTATTTAATCACAACATCAGTTGTTTTGTGAGAAATGTCCAGATTTCAACAAAGAACACCAATAATCAGGCTCTGGACCAACAGATTTAAACACATTAGATTATTTTTATGCAGAAATGTTTGCAGTTTAATCTACAAAGCAAGATATCCGAAACCAGTAACTAGTAAAAGCTTATCACAGCCCTCTGCTGTCAAAGACATTTAAATAATGCTTCTTAAACCATGAAACGGGACCTTTTGAGCTTTCAACAAAGCTAATCTGTAAATTAGAAAACTGGATTAAGGGATTAAAGGTGGAGATAGCTGGATTAGGTGAGGATTAGCTCACCTAACCTGCTCTGAAGTAAAGGGGATTACAGTAAAAGGCCCCACAGTGTGGCTGAACTGGTCTGCTAACACAAAGAAAGTAAAAATAAATAAAATTAAAAAAAAATTAGTATTTAAAAAAAAGTTGAAACTTCATCCATGTGTTTGAGTTGATGTCGGATTACATGAGTGGAATTTTTCTGACTGAGACAAAAACGTGCAATGTGTGAGTCTTCATGTTTGGAGAGGCTGATCTTGTTTTTGTTTATTTTTCTGCTCCTTTTTTCGGGTTTTGACTTGTATGTTTTAATCTGATGTTTTCTTCTGGTTTAACTTAATAAAAACAGTTGCACTAAATGTTGTAAAGCATAATAACATTTATCTGGTTAGAAAAATGCAAGCAGAATTTCTCTTATTCTATTCCAATACTTGATGGACCTCAGATTTGTACATGTATTTATACTTGTGGTCATCTAAAAATTTACTCAATAATAAAAACAGTTGGTCAAATGTCTTAAAATGTGACGATATTTTAGGTCAAACGGGTAAAAACATAGAAGCTTTAATGGTTCCTGAAAAATTTGATACAATTCTCTGGAAAATGTTGGAACACTGGAACAACATTCAAAAAATCTTATTTCTGATTAAAATCGGTCACTCTGAGGCTCCTACATCTATCTCCTGCGTTAGCTTCAGATAGAAAATAAACGGTGAAACTAGGATCAGAAAATCCTGACAACATTCATGGACTCACCCATGTTGACTCGCAACGGGGACTGCTGTAGTTGGTTTAGCTAACAGCAGAGAACAACTCTAGTAGCTGAAGCTAACTGTTAGCATTAGCAACTCCACCTCACGGCAGAAACTCCTTCAGGCTTGAAGGAGCGATAAGACTTCAAATTCTGCCGCGTTCAGCTCAGCTGTGACGGGGCTCCCTTCTAGCTCCTGAAAATGGTGCACTATTGCTTTTTGCATAGTAGCTAAAAGCAGCTGACCCGGGTTTCTACCAGCTGACTGCTTCCTAAAGATTTTAGTGCCCTGCCGGGCATAAATATGCAGGAAGAAGATCCAACATGCATTTTGTCTCCATGTCTTTGCGTGATTTATAAACTAGCAGAAGCACTTTGAAATTGATTCTGTGGTTTACTGGTAACGAGTGTGGAGATTTAAAGGGGCATTATGGAAGTCTGACAGCCAAAACATGTATAGAGATGATAAATTTCTTCGTCATACATTCTCCTGCAATGCCCTGGTCCTGTAGAATGAGCCCTGGCATTTTTACTGTGATTGCCTGTTTTTCTGTAAAATCACATAAAGAGAGCTGCTCGGGTCGAGCAGGCTGCTTCATGCGCGTTCACGCTCAGGCATAGCACGTAGCATTTGCTATCAGTAGCTTTAGCAGCAGAGAGTGAGGTAGTGCCAACTCAGCGACTTTGTCGCTGTTCTTAACGCTAGCTACATTTCTGAGGACCGTTAGCTACTTTCTTCTAGATATTTCCTGCAAATTAGCAACAAAATAGCCATTTTCGCTCTGAACCGTTCTTTGAACGTTGTTTTAGCTATTATCAAGGATATAAATATTACAGATACAAAAGTCGTCATTGTTGCTATAGCTCACCTGGTATGATGGTGGACTCTTATATGGAATACCTGGGTTCGATTCTAGATGTGAACATAGTTTATTTAGAGTTTCTTTTTTTACATTAATGGTATAATTTTTTACAGTAAGGTTTCCAAATTTTTATTTGAGACTCGCCGAACAGCATTGAAATCACAGATAAAAAAGATGTGGGTTCAACTTTCATTTTGGAACAATTTTTCAAGCAACGGAAGGGAATGATCTGAGCATGCAGGAGGACTGACCCATCATAAACCTTTGTCGACTGTGCTGAAGAGAAAGGTACAGAACCAAATTATTTAATTAAAATTAGCTGCGTGTTCTCCTGTCCTCTGTCCTCCGGGCCACACACACACACACACACACACACACACACACACACACACACACACACACACACACACACACACACACACACACACACACACACACACACACACACACACACACACACACACACACACACACACACACACACAGGGTACTGTCTCAGCTGTTATTTTCATTGAGGAGTGTGCACGTACAGCATGCGCGCCTCGTGCACGAGCCTACTATTGAAGCTGCCGTTACGCTTTTGGCCTGAGGGGGCAATCGCGAGCATAAAAATTCAAAACTCTGTAAAGTCCCTTTAAGAACAGGAGTGATGTGCTCAGTCTTTTTGGTTCTTCTTAAGATTCTAGCAGCAGCATTCTGCACAAGCTACTAGGGGCCACTGCAAATGTACTGATAAAACAAGTGAGCCACACCTTTAATTGATCTTTTTTAATGTCTGAACAAAAAGAAACTTGTGTTTCCAGGACTATGCAGCATAAGAGACACAGAAATACTAATGTACATCCGGTGTTGCACAACATAGCAAACAATAAAACAACATTTTTTGTGAGGGTTTTTTTTTGTGTAATTTTGTGTTTGCAGCTCACTTTCGGCTATTTATAAATTTAAAAATACACGAATACCACAATTTACATGACTACAGAAGATAAAACATGATTTTTTTAGATTGAATTGCTCAACAAACGTATTAAGGATTAAGATAATTCGTAGCTGGTCTTCATATCTTGTCTGAGATTTTAATTTGTACCTTTTTATTTTATTCATAGTGGCGCAAAGAGGTCAAGAGTTTTGGTTCCAAATACAACGTCCCTCCTCGTACCAGCAGAGGGCACTGTCTACACTCCTGAACGGTTAAAAACATGTTTGTTTTTTCCTTTTTCTTCATCACACACAAAAGTCTGATATCAAATCTCATTTCAACTCTTTGGTTTCTCTTCCTTTATAGTTTTTCTCTTTTTTAAGTTTGCATTTCACTGAATTTTACATCTGCCACATTTCTTCAAGTTAAAGCTGTTTCATCCTCATTTGAATCTAGCGACAAATCTTAGTTTGAAACAATAAATGAAAGCTGACCTTTTTTGTTTATTTATTGCATCCCGGTGTCAGTCAGATCTTCGGTTGTCATCACAGATCACAGCCGCTCGGTCCACACTTGCCCACACTTGTCAGCCTCACTTTTAGGTCAGCACAGACCCTTGACTCTCAGCTCAGCGTCACTTTCTGTGTTTTCAAAAATCTGACTCACATCTGAGCAAAAGGCCAAAGGAAAGTCCTTTTTCCTCTTGTTGAGTTGGGATGTTTATTACAGTTTAACCCTCTCAGGCTCAAAATAAGTTTTGATAAAAGGACGAACAACGAAGTCCTTCAGGGGAACTTCTGAGTTAAAACTGCTCATGAAACACGTGTGTGGAGTAACCAGGTAGGTTTTAACATTGCAAATCTGCGACACCTGCCTCCAGAGGGTTAAGGACACAAATTGTTTTTTAGTGCATGAAGGCATCAGCTGCTGTCATGTCTCTGGACTAATGAGACGTTTCTCACCAGAAAATAAATATTTATCATCATTTCACAAATACAAAAAAATACTTCATATATTTTCCCCTTTTTCCTCTCTTTTTAAGTCTGTCTGCTTGATTTTCAGTCGATTTTTTTTTAAAACCCCACCAAAATAGAAAAAAACCACAATCCCTTGCAGCAGTAATGTTCAAATGAGCATCCTGGTCACGTTATCACATAGTAAGAAGAATGCATGTTAGTTTTCAATGTAGCGGTAACTATAACCTTTACTTAAAAATCCACAAACCTTGAAAGGTGCGGTAAAATACAGTGAGATGTAATATTATAGGTTCCAGGACAGTTTGATGGTTATGATAGGAGATGGTACGATTAAACAACAGCACACAGTAAGATGCATTTTAAGATATAAATAAAGATAAATGAAAATGTATGAAGGCACAATATGATTAAAAAAAGATATGAAATACAATAAAATAAAGGGAAATATATTAAAGGGGATACATTCTGACTTTTATTCTTAAGTTATAATAGTTCTATGGTTGATACAAAACATGTTTATGAAGTTATTTGCAAAAAGTCCCTCTCACATTAAGCAGTTTCAGTAGTTTTATTCTTAAAAATGTCAGTACCTTCCAGAAAGAACCGTTTGTGTCACTTTAAGAAATCAGTATGGAGCTGGCTCCGCCCAACTTTCCCCCTGTTCAAGCTGCTATGAGCTGAAATGCTCTAATTTCTGGGAGGGGCTTGAAATAGAGCTGATGTTCCTCCAGCAGCAGCTTTCTCTTGCACGTAAGAAGTGGTTCAGCTCTACATTCCCCGTTTATGACATCACAAACAGGGACTTTTTGAAATGGCTTGTTTTAAGCACATAATTCCTAAAGCCAAAAACTGATAGAGTGTTCAAAGAGGCTGCAGAGACTGTAAAAGAATGTAAAATGTGAATTTTGTCCCCTTTAAGAACAAATAAAATATATTAAGACAACAATAAACGAGAACAGATGATATATTTTATGTTATGTATAAAACTCTGGTATGTGAAAGTTTGTCTCCAAGATTACGACTGAATGTTCTGAGAAACCAGAATTATTTAGGAAGCAAAGACCATAAAATATGTGCCTGTCATGTCACTGCAGGCCTGTTTTGTTTTGAAAAATGAAAAGACAAGAAAAAAATTCAGACGGTAATCGGAGAAATAAGATTTACAGGCAGAATAATGAGACGGGCGGTAAAAGCATGTCTCAAAAATAGCCCCCTCCCTCCATCTGTGCCCTCACAGACAGACAGGCATGTCTGGTAGCACTCAGGTATGACAAAGTTGTGGTGGGCGTCTCACCCAGACACGGTGACTCACACACTCCAGAGGCTGACACATCTGGAAACCAACCTGCAGGAGCAAAGACGCTCATCAAAACAATGTCTGAGCATCTTCTTACCTGCAGCTTTCACACCTGCTTTAGAGGGAACACAGGAAGCCACTGTAGTGGCTCTAAATCTGTGGCATGCACAAGGTCACACATGAAACAAAGTGTCAAAATCTGCAAGTATTTTATTTGACAAAAGTTTAATTTTTGCTCCTTTATGTTTAATCTAATCCAAATTCTAAGCTGCATTTAAAAGTAAGATCCATTTGTGTTAAAAAAAACTTCTTTACCACTTAAGGATAAGTTACAGACCACCTGAGCTCTAAATAAAACTGCAAACGTCTCCTTTAATGGCCGCGCTGATTTAGATGTAATTAAAGCTGCAGGAAGCTGAGGACTTTAAGGGATGAGCTGTGACTTTGCTCGGAGTCTTTTATCGGCTGAAAGCAGGAGATTCACCAAACAAACATGCAGGCGAAGCAGTGTGAAGTGTTATCTGTTTGCAGAATGTCTGCAGAGATAAGAAG